ACTGAATTCTTCTGTGATCCTTTGGTGTGCAGAGATTACTACCTTGCAACCAAGTGTTCAATGCCACATCACGTGCAACCGTCCTCTCTGATTTTAATCTGCTCAGACTGCAAGTAAAGTTTAATACCGTTGCCTTTCTTGTCCACCTTCCCTGCAAAAAGATGATCTGGCTTTTCTTTGGATGGAGTTTTTCTTTTGTTTTGCAGAACCAAGACCCATTCAGGAAACCCAGACCAAATAATGAATTTTAAAGCTGAATCTCTCAGTGGAAAGATTCAGCCACCATCCCCCTGTCTGCCTTTCCTTCTGACACTCTCTCATACACAAACAAAAGAGATTAGATAGATTATTAATAGGCATTAATAACACCGAGCATTACTTCACCATCTAGGGCCTATTCAAGCTAAACCCACACAGATTCCATCCACTTCTTATGCTTCAGGTCCATTAGGGTCCATAGAAAGGATACCCCTTTAATTTACAAACAAGATTACGGAGACTTTGTCCTCAAATGAGATACAATTTGACCAAACCATAAACAGCCAACCTATTCTGCTAAAGCTCCAACAACTGAAAATAATTCTTGAATCAGACATTTATAACATATTAGTTTCCCTATTTGCATTACTTCAACGTGTAAAGGTGAGTGCACCTGCTCAGTGTTGTCTCCAGTGTAAAATCTGGGGGTTTGTTCTCTTCTCGCTTGTAAATCAAACATCCTTTCACTGCATGGGGGTTGGTTCTTGGGCCAAAACATTCAGTATACTCAAAGAGCACAATTCCAGGCACTGTATGCAAACACAAGTTCGTAGTAAGGTTCCACAATGTTTCCCACTTAAGTAAACTACAGTGGTTTCAATTGCTCAGCATCTGATTCAAGTTCCATTTTCCTGGAAAGTTTTAGCCAACTCATTTTAGCTGTTTTTCAGAACGCAGACAGGCAAAAGCTTATTGTTCTCCTCATGTAATAAAATTCTGGTTCTTTTCTTCACTATGAGACTCTAGTATTAGCATGTTTTGATTAAAAGATGTGACATTTGGCAGAGAGTGGCAGGTGACTCAGAGAAATGCATTTTGCTACCGTGATGAAAATCATTTTATGGCATAGTAAGCATGATTTAAATGAATCTAAAATATTTAAAACCATTAAAGACAGAACTGTTATTCAGAATCGTTATCTCAATTTTTATATAAATTGGAATAAATTAAAGTAACTCACTTCAGTCACCTTTGAGTTTCCTGATCGGAATGTTTCTGAGAGGCATATACTGTAGCTACCCTTCACCACCTATTTGCAGAATTCAAACACGGTCAGACAGTTTTACTCTAATTCACCTTTATTTACAGTTATCTTCGGACTATGACAGAGAATGTGTTAAATAAAAAAGTAAACAGATTGAAAGTTTAACCTCTATGTTAAAATGTAAACAGCCTTTGCCTAATCCTATGAAACAAGACAGGCTGCTACAAAGCATATTTCATAGTGTCCAAAACTAGGAGGACAGATCACATTTCTCAAGCAAAAAGTTAATCTGTTTAATACGTCATCTTCATCACAAAACCTTCATCAACAGAAAAAGGACGAAAACCAAAAAAAATTGGGAAAATGGAAGAAGCAGTGGGAAAATTTCTCTTTTAGTAACACAACTTCATAACTAAATCCTTTATATTCTTGAGGCATAATGCTTGCTTCCATGCTTAACAGGCCATAGAAATGTTTATCAGTCAGGTTTCCCATTAAATATCCTTTACTAAGATAATGAGATACCAAACAGCTCCTGATGTAGACATTGGCATCTAGATGGCATTTATTTGAGTGTGAAACATATTAGTATATTCTGAATTGTTATCAGATTTCGCTAGTGCACGGAAAGAAAAATACAGGCAATGAAACCAGAAACATTAAGGAGCTGATTGTATTAGTTTCACACTTTCCCACTGGTTTCCATGGATATTGATCTGTAGTCTGGTTTACATTAATATGGGCCAGTTGAATATTTAAAGAAGAAAATAATATTCTGCACAGATTTTTAATAAAAAATGAAGCAAACTGCATGCTCAGTAATCTTCTTGAAGTTGTTAAATTTCATGATCACACAATTAATTTCATTTAATTGCAGTGGATAGCACGGGATATATAGGAAGTGGTTTTTCCACAAACATGAGATCGTTACGAAAACTTGTTGATCCTCCCTCCACAAGTTAACAGCTAAAGTTGTGATAATGCAAACTTTTATGCAAGTAGGTGAGTGTCAACAAAATCTCATTAAAGGCTTTTCAAACCTACATAACAACTATACATTATCGCAGTCCCAAGAAAACCCATGGATCTAGGACACTGCAGAGTCCATACCTCAACATTTCATGAATCCCACCACTAAAAAGGACATAGCAACATTCATGTAAACGCCTTAAAAGACCCCGAAGAATATTTAATGTCTGTAAACATGCTGAAGAGAAGTTTATGTAACTTCTCCAAATATCAGCAAGTCCTTCAGCATTGGCCTGAGAAATCAGAAGTCCTCAGATTCATCCCCTGAACTGTTGTAGGAGGCTACACCACACCCTTCAGACAAGCCTAAAGTAATCTAATTTACTATTATGGATTACAACATGATTTAAAATAGCAAATAACCTCAAGATGTGTTAGAATAAAAATTGGTACTGACAAATAGAGTTTTCTTTCTGTTTGTCCTGTCGACTTAGCTCCCCAGAACAATCCTCCTCTGCTGATGCAGCACTCCCATCTGTGTCGGTGACGCAGTGAGGGGCCCAGGCAGCCCACCCAAGGCCGTCCAACTGCAGGAGCTGCAGCTCCATGAGAACCACCTTGTCCCCCCACATTAAGACTGATCAGAGCTGTCAATGCGCACTAAAAGAGGGACCCTGTGCCCAAGGGCACAGCACACCCCTCCAGAGCAATCCCTCTGGGCAGCTGTTGCTTCCTTGCCTGTGGTGGGCTGGGGGAGAAGGGAGGTTCAGCACTCAGAGAGGGACCCTCACCACAGCCCACCTCCCAGAGCAGGTGCTCTGCCAAGGTGCCCCTAGGTTAGCAGCAGGTAAGCTCATTCAATGCATCTTTTAGGAAAAAACATATCGTTTCCTTTTCCCATTTCTTCCTGCTGCAACAGCAGCCAGTGTGTATCTCCAGAGAGGAACAAATCACCAGAACTGTAGCTGGCACAGGAGTCACAGTACTAAATGATCTAGTATTTAAATCTAGCATGCAGCAATTAAAATAATACATTTTCTATTTAGCTTGTGGTGCTCCATTCAGAATGATTAACTAGAAACACAGGAGAACCTTTAGATTCAGTAATGTCTATCCAGAAATGTAAGGTTTTGAGGGCTTCTTACTAATACTACAATGGACAATGTAACAGATCACGCTTCCTTTTTACTACAAGATTACAAACTTGTACTTGAGTAACCAGTAATTTTAGTTTATTTTGTGGGACTGACAGTCATGTAGCTCATGCCTGTATGTATTGTCACTGCAATCTAAGTATATTTTCACTGAACTTGTGTTCCAAAACCAGAGATGTTTCCTGATTCTAAAGTACCTGGGAAAAGGAGACAGATAAAGACATTAATATAATTTTGACCTGTGCAGTAGCAGGTGTAACCTGCGCTTGACACTCATCATTTATAATAGTGAGCTTTTACTCCATGTTATTCTCTAGATGCAACAGTTACCGTGGTAACTGCATCCCAGTATACACATTCTACATCACAAATACAAACGGACACTTCCTTTTTTCCCACTTGAACATTTAATTGTCAAAATCCACATTTTTTCAGACTGGATTACAATTTACTTTCAGAAGGAGCTGAACATAGTTACAAAACTATATTGAAGGGTAGAAGGAAAATGCAGGAGGCGTGAGGTGCCATTTTTTTGTTCTACCGTATGCAAAACGAATATTTTACAATTAGGGAGTTTTATCTGCAGTATGAACAGATGATCAGTCATTGTTCAGAAGCACAGAGGGGCATACGTCATACCCATATATTTTCCATTTTAAACCCACATTCCCGCTTTACTGCAATTTTATCTTTCAACTCAACTAGCAGTTGTGCCTTTTTATTATCGCTCGCTCTAGTAACGCATCAAGTGTATGATGCTCAGATTAATTCCAAGGAAAAAAAGTCTAAACCTGGCTTTATGCACAATGGAGTTCTCAGTAAATAAGTCCCTGCGGGACAAACTATTACACAGTGCATGACAATTACCATGCAGCTCTCATTACGAGTAACACACATTGCACACCTAAATTACACAATTTGCTAAGTTACCTCTACAGGTAAAGCTGTGAACACACTACACTTGCAGTATGTGGACCAATTTCTGTATTAGCAGTAGTACCTCATGATTTTCTTCCATATTTTAATAAACATTTTTATAATGATTGTTACTTGGAAGTACACATACCATTGTATTTTTTTTTAAACAGATATACTTTCACAGTTAAATTTAACAGAATGGAAGATTGCCTATGTTTAGCCTATACCCAGGGCGAAACTGGAACAGTTGCTCTGTCACCAAACAACCCCTCCCCAGCCAGGGAGGGGAATCAGGAAAAGGAGAGGAGACCCAGGGGTTGAAGTGAAAACAGATTTAATGAAACAGCACTGATACCAACAAAAGTATACAAAGTTGTCAAATGAACACACAGCCATCACAACTGACTGGACAGCAGTCCTCAGAAGCAGGGAGAAGCCAGAAGAGGAGCATAAGGAACGCACAGGAGCTCCCTCTCCTCAGCAAACCTTCCCCCTTTATACTGACCATGACATTACGGGATGGGCTGCCCCTGTAGCTCACTCAGCTCAGCTGCCCTGGCTGACTTGACCCTGCTGATGGCCTGCCCGGCATGGCTGGGCTGTGATTCCCAGCCAAACCAGGACAAAGCTAAAAAAAAGTATTAATTACAAAAGTGACTGCCTATTGTTACTACTCATGAGTACTACAATACATACAAATTCGTCGTTAAACAGCAGTAAATCTAAAGGTTATTAACTAATCATAACATTTTAGGATTCTATAAAAAATTAAGGATAATAAAATTAATTATATGTTATTTTTGTTAAGAGTGCTACATAGAACTCTATAACAATTTTATTTTGTTAGAACTCTTGACACTAATATCACTTTAAACAAACTTGAAACAGGAGCAAAGCCATTTGGAGCTATTCATCCTCCCTGCAGTTTTCATATCAATCATTGTGCTAGCACTGAGCTTTTTTAATAGATTTCTAAAGATTTTTGAAGAAAAATGGCAGATATTTAGCATTATCTATCAAGCCATAACTCCTCTCTATTAATCATAGCATTAGGGCTAAAAGGAGACACAAATCAAGTTTTAACAGATATTACTTGCATTTGGTTCCTAAACAGTAATATTTCACCATTGCATTTATCATCTACTTGACAACCGTTTAATCTTTCTTTTGGAGTTTGTTTTGGTTTGGGGGGGTTGAGGGATTTTTTTTAAGGAAAAAAGTTTTCTGCTTTGCAACAAAGTTTTTACATATAAGGAATAAAGGCCATTAGAAGAAAAGCTAATAAAATCATCTCTCGACTGATAAAACCCAACTATCAAATATACACACAGAACAAACACAGTTCAATGTCTCTAGCCTCACACTGTTGTCCTGGTTTGGCGGGGAACCACAGCCCAGCCATGCCGGGCAGGCCATCAGCAGGTTCAAGCCAGCCAGGGCAGCTGAGCTGAGTGAGCAACAGGGGCAGCCCATCCCGTAATGTCATGGTCAGTATAAAGGGGGAAGGTTTGCTGAGGAGAGGGAGCTCCTGTGGCTGAAGTTCCTCCTACTCCTCCGCCTCTGGCTTCTCCCTGCTCCTGAGGACTGCTCTCCTGTCAGTTGTGATGACCAGATATTCATTTGGCTGAGCACAGCTTTGTACACCTTTGTTAGTATTAGCGCTGTTTAATTAAATCTGTTTTCATTTCAGCCCACGGGTCTCCTCTCCTTTTCCTGATTCCCCTTCCCAGCTGCTGAGGGGTTGTGGGGTGATAAAGCAACTGTTATATCTTAGCCGTGCACACAGGCTAAATGTAGATACCTGTAAATGAGAACTTTGGTCCAAACTGTACAGTTCTTACACTTGTATATTCAATTCTCAGGGAAACCAAAGTGGATAGCTACTTAAATAACACAGGGGAGGAAAGGTTTAGCAACAGCTAGCAGAAAAGTTTAGCAAGTGCTCCAGAAGCTTTACAAGTCTCCTGGAGAGAAAGGAGGTATACAAACAGGTAAAAGGAGAACTGCAGCAGGTAGCAACATTTGCTCATTGAATCACGACCCACAGCCATTCAGAAGGGGGTGTGAAGTCTACGAATGGCAGCAGAGGTAAAAAACTGGCCTTACAGACATATCATCTGTTATGTCCAGACTGATTTGCATGTCTATTTTGGTCTGTCCTACAAAGTTGTTTTTTTTTCTCAGGCTTTTCAAAGGTGACTGGAATTTCATCGTATGTTTGTAGATATGATCAACCAAATGGGTCAAGATACAGAATAAGGACATGCTCATTAGCTAAGGATTGTATAGAAATGTGCAATCTTAACATGTGCGTATGCCTTTTCTATACAGCCACAACTTCCTCACTTTTACAGAGACCAAAATCACAATTTTTACCCAAAGATACTTCAGCAGATCAGATGACGTGCCAGCTGAGACCACGATTTCCATTTCAGGTGGAAATTGGTGCATTGAAGCTACAGTCACAAATAATGCACATGGACCTCAAAAGAAATCCTTGAGAGGACTTCCTAACGTCAAGAGTCGAAGTAACAAACTCTGCTTCAGTAGCCAAAATATACACATACCTTTACACACTAATAAATTTACACTTACACCCATGGGTGTGCATCTGTATCTATCTAGATAGATGCACATAGACACGTATTTCAGGTCAACCTGAATCTAGTTATTTACTTAGTTTTGGCAAAACTGGACAGTAAAATGTCCAAATCACCTGAAACTTTTTCTTCTCCCCAAAGCCAGTACAAATGCACATTAATTCTCCTGTAGGATCTACCCTATGCCCAGAACAGTTCTACATCTCCTTAACATGCAGTTACAGATGAAGATGCACTTGGTCTTTTTCCCCATGCAGCCTAGTGTAGCAATATCCACAATTTCACCTGGCTCAGATAAAGCTTGTATTATAAAAAATTGTTTCAACTACTAGAGTTTCTAAAGAGTCGTCTTGTTCATAAATAATGTTCCCTATGTTCCTATAAAGTATTGCGTTATGAAAGCACTTGTAAGCTTCTGAATATGCTGTAAGAAAAAGGATAATTATTCTAACTTCCTACGCCTTTATTTTATTAGTACCAACTTTTTTCTGAACAAATCATTAACAAAGGCAACCACTTAGACAATACTCATTGGTTCATGCAAAGAATTTAAGACATTTGCAAGTCCTACCTACCTCGGTAGCAAACTGCTGCAATCCACCAATATTAATTGGTCCCTCCTCAGTGGCATACAAATTGCAGCCACCAACACAGAGATCTGATGTTGGACACACCATTCCGCATGTCAGGCCAAGTGGATTGTCAGAAAGAATCATTTTGGCAGCTCCATAGTAGTTCTGAAGGAAAAAGAAGAAAAAGGGAAAAAAAAAAAAAGAGATATTCACATACCGAGGAAGCAAAAATTCAAGAGACAATAGAAAAGACTTTTTCTTTAACTGGCTAGTAGAATAACATATAAATATATTCAATAACGCTGACATTATTTAAATGTACCAACATGTTATACAGCATTATGTCAAAGACATGAAGACGGGTTAAAGCTAGAGTTTCCTTTAAGGACCACAAGACAATAACAGTACCCCTTAGAATCAGACCACGGCTGAAGTTCCACAGAAGTTTCTTCAGTGAGAAATTAATGCTGGGATCTCATTCCAGCTTTCTCCAAACTGGCAATAACTGAGAGATTAAAAAACAATATGTCTCCTTCCTCTTCCACCACCTCTTCCATATTCCAGTCTTCAATAATTGTCACTAACACAAAGCTGGTTTTCGTAACAACTATGTTTATCTCTCTGTCTCAGGACAGCTGACTCAGAACAGCCAGAAGATGTAGCATTCAAATGACATGAACCACTCTGTCACAGCAGACCCTATGCAACGCCTGTGACTTACTGTCTGTCAAGTAGGCTCATGCACACAGAAGTGTTTATTCAAAGTGAACGCTACACCACACAGTTATGAATAAAAAAAGCAGTGTCAAGATCTGACAATATAACCAACAATGGGTAACAAGACTTTGACTTGGGAGGTTCAAATTCACTAAAGCCATATTAAAAGACTGAGCATAAAATTCTTTAAGTTAAACCAGATGCTACACACAGCTAGAAATTCCCAAGAGAAAGTCAATTGGACCTTTTGCTTACAGATGCTGGCCTACTGCACAGCATGAGCCCCTGTCCAACACCTGGAAACACAAACCAGCTACCCAGGTGTACTTTTCATAGGATTTGCTTAGACACTATTAAAAGCCATTGAAATTCTAAGGCTTTATGAAACTGTTCTGGGAGAACTTTCAACCATTTTGCCTGTGGTGACTGGTAAGGCATCCCCAATTCTCATTTATTCCAATGTAAAGAAGTATTAGTTAAATGGAAATTATATACATTAGCAAATATTTTCGCTCTTCCAGATGAACGAAATTGTTTTGATATGCCAGAGACTGTTAGAGCTGCTAAAAGCAGACAGTAAAGGCATCATAAACTCACTTCAGCATCACAACACAGAAGTCTACTTTGTGATACAGCAAAGATTTCTCTTGTCACTTCACAGGGTTAATTGTTCCCATTCTGGGGTTTGGTAAAACAAAGGTATCATAGGATATTGCTCAATTCTCCAGCTAATGTATTGATAGACATTGATCACTTGGTTTTCTGTCAGAGTTTTTTTATTCTGCTTCATAAATGAGCCTGTCACTCTATGTATAGCAGAGCCAGGGCTTATCTCAGTGATGCTCTGTAACACCCAAAGTAACTCTGCTTTAAATGGCATTTCTCTGGTCTTACATAAACATCCCAGAGATCACAGCAGGAAATGTCTGCAAATCTCTTGAAACCTCAGATCATCTCATTTGTCCTAAGCCTGAGAAGATCAAAGTGCTAGGACTTGTGGAGATTAGGGAGAGTGGACAGCTTGAGCAAAAATTTGTATTTTAGAGAAGGGCTTTCTGAGACCGGGAGAGTGAAAGTACATTTGTGTGTGGGAGATGGTAAGTGTGGGATCTGAGAGATCAAGAGAGGAGGACAGAAGGGAAAGATACTAGCAGGGTAAGAGTCTGGCAGGAAAAAAATGTAGATGGTTTGATATTAGAGACTGTGCTGTTAAAGCTGAATATGCTGAGAGTGAGAGCTCCTCTGAGGCTGTGGGCAGTCAATTGACTCTGAAGGCAGAAGGCTTCTTGCAAGCAGTGTAGACACTGAAGACATGACCCTTAAATCAGCTGAAGCTCTCATGTGGTTTTGAGGTTGCAGCCATGAAAAGGGCTTCTTCCAAGGCCTCCTCAAAAATGCCCGGTGACAGGCAATGCTGCTCCTTTCGTTACTCTTGACCAATTTGCCTCCTCCCTGTTATCTTATATCCATTGGGTCTCAAGATCTTTCCACAGAGTCATAATAATCACTTGATATCACTAAAGTAAAATCTAGGCTATTGTACATTCATTTTTCTCTACCATTAAAAAGTCTTTACTCTCTCAGTAAACCACCTTATCTATTTTTATTTGAAGTTTCACATGAAAGGTGAAAAGAACAGAGCCTGACAATGTCATCTAAGGAAAGCAATTATATTTTAAGGTGAAGTGTTTTGTGAACAGCATCCTGAGCCAAAAATAGCTGGCTGGTTAAATGGCTTATCAGCATGTGAAGACCCGGGAGGAATGTATTTTTACTGTTGCCTAATAACTCCATGCCAAATATTGTCCTAGCACTGGAAATATAATGGAGGAGGAGCAGGTGGCTTCTTCAAGAGAAGGTGCCCATGATAAAGTGGGTGAAGTAACACAGCAGCATAAAGCCTCTAGCAATTTAATTTACCAGCACAACTTGAGGTGTCTAATTTCAGATGGTTTTGTAGTGCAAAGCACTCGCAGAAGTCTCGTGCCCGAACCAAACCCACAGTCCTTTGATGAAGGTGTAACAGCAAGCCTAGGCAAGACGCTTGTCTGGTTCACCAATACCAACACATCCGCATGCACGTCGCTGCACTGTGCATATTCCTCCTGGCACTTGCCTTTTCAAGAGGATGAAAGGTTCCCTGAGGGGGCTTGGTTCAGGCTGTCATGGCTGCCCAGGGCAGTGGAAGGAGTCCAAGAGCATCCTCCATGTGATCACTGTCAGGCCTGTCTCAGGGTGGAGCTGGTATTTCATACAGTTTACAGGAAGCAGAGATCTCCTGTCCGTTAGGAGAGAAATCTTGGCTCTCTGAGTAAATTGAGTGGATTTATTGGCTTAATTTACCACAAAATGTGACAGTTCATAACAAAAAACATGTTTTAGTCACCTGAACAATGTTTTCTGGCCCTATTCTTTTGCAGGGCACATACACATCTACCTGCTGCTCTGTGTAGCGAGAAACTTGATCTCTGACAGACATTTTTTGCCTAGTACAGGGAGGATTAGTTGTTGGTGTCAGTGTGCAAGACTTACTGCCTGCTTGGCAAAGACATTGAGACATAAGCCAGACTGTGTTTGTTGTTTTTTTTTCCCAAAAAAACCTCTTAAAATAAATGTGAAACTCCTTAAGATAAAAAGGAAATACGGCGAAACCACAAAGATGTACAGAGCACTTGTCCTCACTTCATAAGTAACAAGAAATCCAAACAAAGGACTTGGGTTTTTGAGGGATTTGCCATGTAAGGGTCCCAGTTGAGATGCAGCCTTTTCCACCAGGACAGTTTAATTTATTTTTGTTTATTATGACATGGGGAATTTTCCTCCTTCTTTCAAAGTTGTTTTATTAAAATTTCTTTAGTCATCATAATCCCACTTTCATCATGAACTTGACTACCAACAGAATATTTGTACATTTAAATGTCTCTTTTCCTGTGTGTCGTCCCCCCCCCCTGCAATTTTCCCTACTTTTCTCTAGAATTCGACGCAGGGACAACTCATCTCCGGACAACTCTGCACAGGGACAACTCGCTGCGGCGGCAAGTCGGCAGTCTGATCGCAGAGTTGTCACTGCTGTGAGTTGTGCCCAACTTGTCCCTGCAGCGAGCTGAGCTGTCCCCACCAACTTGTCCCCATGCTGAGTTGTCAGTGCCACAAGTTGTCTGGTGGCGAGTTGTCCCTAGATCGAGTTGTCACGTTCAGGCGAGTTCCTGTGCCAAATTGGGCACCAGGGTCACTGAGATCAGGGCTTACTGAGGTGATATCTAGGGAAACCTGTCTCAGAACATCATGCCAGAGTTCAGAAAGGAGTAGGCTGGGACTGAGGTCCTAATGTGGGGTAAGGGCTGCTGCTGCTGAACTCTTAATTTGGAGGAAACATGATGGAGTATGGGAAGATGAGGTTCTGATTTGGGAAGGTTTGAGATGTTGCTGTCATGATCGTGAGTCGCACCTGAGAAAAAGAGGAACCATGTCCTCTTCAAATGAGAGTATCAAAATGTACATAGTACATGTTACCATGCTAAATATTAAGACATTAGATAAACGGTATCAAAGAGTAAGGTTACACACGAGTGTAACCACCATTCCCATTGCCACCGATAGCAATACACTACGAGTGAAAGCACGCAGCCATGTGCTGCTACCATGACTCTGTGCAGTGGCTCAAAAGCAAGGCCATCTGCAACCCTCCTGACACCCAGGGCACAGTCCAGCATGGAGACTGGGCTGCGGGCAGGACTCCAGGAACCCAGCTCTGAGTTGCTTCATCTCTTTGTCCTTCCACTCTATTTAATCATTTATGCTGCCTTTTTCGATACTTGACAAAAACTGGCACGGAAATACGGTGTAGTCTAGTAAGTTACACTACGTGGTATTACACAAACTGTGTTACAAAACTGCAAACCATTGTGTTACTACAGTAATAAATGACAGTCTGTATTATATGTACAGTAGTATTATGTACAGCATCTTAAACGTTTAGCTACATGAAAACTTTGCACTTACATAACCTCTTTTTTAAGCTGAAAACATGTATTACCTTTACCAGTGACATTAACATTCATAGAATATTCATGTTCTGTACAAAATTAATAATCATTTCTATGATTAAAACCAGCGTGTAGTAGGCTGCACACAAAATAGACAGGAGATGCAGACCTGGCAAGCTGGTAACTACACACCACATGTTGTACATGAGAAAGGATTAGAATTAAAGGGAGGCTGGCTTTATTAAAATGACAAAGTTACTCCAGGGCATGGAACGATGCAAGCTACCTTAACAGTTTGGAGTAATGTTTTTAGATGCTGAAATAATAAGATGACTCTGTTGGCTAGTTTCTTGCAGACGTCACAGAGGAAGCAAGTCTAAAACTAGAATGTTTCTGAATTTTTTAATGAGATAACTGTCTGCTCGTGCCTTTGTTCATAGAATCTTTTTTCCTGTGCACTTC